CAATAGTAATTAATTACAAAAATAAGATCAAGGAGACTTTTAAATATTTTAAATTCATAAACCATGCACGCAGGGTAGAGGAATAGGTAAATTTGAAACGTGTTATATTTAAGTATCTATTTAGCAATATCTTCTAATAGGTAATTATTCATATGCTATTTTAAAACTGTTCATCAGGCAATAGTATTTCTATATTCTTATCAGGCCCTGATTGTATTACAGTCTTCAAATCTTATCCACTTTGTCTCTCTGGCCTCTCTATGTGCTATGAATAAGGGTCATTGCCTGAAACGTTGCCTAATACATATTTCCTTTTAAGGTGGTGTTATGGATGTGAGTTTATTTGTCATTGTGCAGCACTGCCAATGCAGTATCACCACATATGGGTTCTTTCCTACAGCTCTACATAATAAATGAACAGCATGATACCTATTTAGCACTGCAAATCAATTATTATAAGCTTAGGAGCCACTGTACACCCAGGCTTGCTTACAAGCTATATATCAATGTCAGCAAGAAGTTTGGTGTCCATATTCATTACTCACCATGAATCAAACATTTACCTGATATTAGAGGAACTTTAAATAAAAAAAACAAGACTGAGTATAATGCCTGCAGCCCAAACTCATATACACCAAATTAATACATCATGATCACCACTTTAGACTGTGTTTGCAAACACTTTATAAATTCTGCTGCCGTAAACCTATAAGTGTAGTAGGTGCCACCAAGTCTGTTTACATAGATGGTGATTATCACAAAACAGGTCTTGTGTAAAGGTGCCATTGAAATGTCTTGCTCAAGCAACTGCTAGCAGAAGGGCCTCCCTCCTCTTAGACGATCAACAGAGGACATTTGGCCGACTCGTCTACACTTACTAGATGTTTGGAAGAGGTGGGGGTTATCCACACTTGATCCCACCATAAGCGACATGCCGATCACCTAACTACAGTTCACCCATTTACACTGCGGTGTGGACAGAGGCCGGAGGAGGATTTAAGGGATGTGATTGCCATCTCAACTGCCACGCCAGGAGATCAAATCAAACCAGCAACCGGTGAACTGCGAGAAAAAGAAAATCAAAACGCTCATTTGCCGGTCGCGTATTTGATGAAAAACGGCACGTGGAAAATTCCAACTTCGCAAGCTGTCCTGACGGGATACACGTCACTATTGACAAGAATATAAACTTAACCCATATCTCCTCTTTATAGAAAGGATTAGACGCTTACAATTAGTGTGGCTGTGTGGGACGATTACGGAAAGCCATTTCTTAACTGACGCTTAGGAACATTAACACTTTGTTGGGAAAGCACTTGCACTAATTTATCTTACATTTCAAGTCCCATAAGAAGATTAAACGTATAAATCTCGAATTTGAATCGACTACAGTACTGCAAAAAATGAGGTTGACAGCAAATCTTTTAAAACACGTGTTAAATACTATGATAGCAATGTTTCCGGACAAGGAAAATGAAAACGTTAGCGCTATTCAAGTTCTAATAATATACTGCATGTAAAAATGTAATTGCCACAAAACCTTTAATTTTAGATGTGATTGCACATGTAGCCTGAGAGATCTGGTAACCCGACTCTTGAGAATACAGAATAGCTAGGTGCAGTATCACAGGCCACAAAGGATCAGCTGCTTATTACCACAAAATCCCATTTATGATAAGCTCTTATTTGTTTTTCATCTTCCTGAGCTACCATTGCAGTGTGTGGTCTATAATCACCATCCAACACTCAAATATATGATTGCTGAGATGCCAGTAATGATTGCTTGTTCCTTACCGACGATAGAGGTTGGCAGTAGTGGTTTCCAGCTCCGCAATATATGCTAACAGCTAACCAAAACCGCAAATAGTGGCGGCATACCGCCCACAATGAGTATTTTAAAGTAAAAACCAATTGCTTTTCCTCCTATAACAGCTGTAGTGTTTTTCATCATCGATGCCGCCATCCATATAAAAAAACACGTTTTTACCTACCAAGGTACAAAACCTTACTTTGCACACATTATCACACTATGTCCGGAAAAAAAAACATTTTATAGGAACTGTTGTTATAGTTGTACACAGAAACTTTGCGTGATCCACGTTTTACTGAGTATAGGAATCATATTTATACTGGGGGATTCCGATGAGCTATGAAGCTCTTTTTTCACAGATGCCCTGTAAGGGCGGGTAGGAACGTTACAACAACAAAATACAAAACACCATAGTAGTGCCAAGTTCAATAAAGGTAAACAAATGACCCAAAACCATACAAAAAAAAAACGAAACCATCCCCATCCTACCAGGCAAAGTCCACTGAGGTGTTTCACTTATTCTGGTCACAAATTATAACTCAACAAAGTGGCTTATCATGTTGAAATTTATAGCAGCGAAATAATCTAAATAATCTCAGTTTAATACCGAAGACAAAACAAGAAGATGGAGACCAACAGTGGTACAGTGCCTTGACTATTTTCTAAGGAAAGTCTCAAGACTTAAAGCTTTCGTGACTGCAGGAATTCATATTCTTTGGGTCTTTCGGTAAAGCCACGTAGAAAAAATTATACAAATAATTATTGAATGGATATTCAGACTACACAATCTGTAAAGCTATCACCCCAACCGTTGGGAGAGAACCATCTGAGGAACCAATCAAAACCATCACCTTGCCATCCATAGCAAGGTTCACCAAAAAGATTTGCTAAATCATGAGCAAACACAAGATCCAGGTTCGATTCAACAAAGTACATAAAATTCGTGATCTGATCCCATCTGTGAAGGATGTGATCCCTGACCTGCAATACCCTGGCGTCTACAAACTAAGAGGTGTCTTGGGGAAACTAAGCGACATGTCTCGGACCGTGTTCATGAACACAATGCAGATCTGAAACACGGTAGGACCAATACCTCAGTCGTGGCTGATCATTGTGTTAACGCTGTGGGCAAACACGAAATAGATTTTTCCAAGACGAAGGTACTCTGCAAACCCACTGGCTATCAGCAAAGATTCGTTCATGAAGCCATTCAGATATATAAACACAGACACAATTTCAACCGAGAAGGTGGGTACAAACTGAGCAATCATTGGAAGGACGGTATTAACCAGGTTAAAGTCATAACTGGCTGTGAGGTTTAGTAGTTATTTTCGACTCTCTGGTGTTACATTAACAGGTTAAATGTCTTTACATTAACAGGTTAAATGTCTCACTAACACAGCCACCGTTGCTCGATTTCCTTGATGTGGTGGTGGCTCTACGATCTTACATTGACATGCTAATCTTTCACAATACAATGGCCGCCTCGCAGCTTGGTCGTCGTGTAGGTAGCTCAGCTCTCCGATCTTACATTGACATGCAAATTTAATCACTAGCCCCACCCACTTCGCTTACGACCCTTGGGCTACACCCACCTCAAACCTTTATAACATGCTGCCTCAGCAGCTCTCTTGATATTTTTTCACCCAAGGACGATTGCTTGTGTTGCGATCTAAACATCGTGATATTTGTTTTATATCTACGTGGCTTTACCGAAAGACCCAACAAATAATACAGTCTCAAGGTTCACATTGACAAACATTTACAGCAATAGAGTAATGCATGTCACATTTTTGATGCACTATTCTATATCAAGGTTGTTCTTTTTGGTGGCACCCACTTTGAGTTAAATGTAAGAGTGATCCATGGATCAGCCTGTCAAATGAGAGGTGCAGGTTACCTTGGCGAATGTCATAAATGTAAATAGGGAACAAAATGTTAACTTCACCATCAGCAATTATTGCATTCTAAAAACATCTAATCCGTTTAAGTCAACACACTGTTTATAATGCACTGCAAATTAAAAATACAATACATAAATAAATAATGTTGCTTACAACAGTTGTTTTAGGCTATGACTGCATGGATAAATGCAAAGTGATTCTCAAGAGTTCTTATTAAAATACCACAAGTTTAACTAAACATTGGTAAGTACGTGCATGGCCATTTCTCGCTGTGTCTATTGTAATACATATATTTTATAATAAGCAGCTTAATAAATAAACATTCCACACACATTACAACTGAAGCAACCTCACGGTTGGTTACTCGCTGCCTGTTAATCAACACTTGTATTGTCAATGCGATAACTGTATTGGAATATCTGTTTAGTAATTAACTTCGTCAATGTAACACCACAGCAGCCTGTGGTGTGGTATTTTGTAGTTACATGTGTAGAGGTGATACGCGCTGGGATTAGGGATCGTATGCACAGTGCGTGATGATTGGCTGTGTAGGTGGTGACGCGCGCTGACGGTGGAGGATCAGGGGTCAGCGCGGGGTCGTGGGTTACGGGGTACCGATTGGCTGTGGGCCGGTGACGCGCTGAGAGGGAGTGATCAGGTGGCAGCGCAGTGTGATTGGTGGAGTAATGTTAACACGCGCTGGGGAAAGCGGATCGTAGAGAGAGTGCGTCGTGATTGGTTCATTAAGGAACGACGCTCACGTCGACGCCGCATCAGCTCCGTCTCTCGTGAGCAGGGGCTATAAAAGGGGATGCACACAGGCGTAAGGGCAGTGTGTAACCAGCGAAGAATGAAGACGGGGATGAAGACCTAGAGCCCTGCGGTACCTAGCCCCGCTGTCCTAAGGGGACCGGGACTCTGTGTAACCCAGAGGCGAGTGTAGTGTGTGTAGCCATAGGTCTACACGAGCCGAATGTATTGTGTGTAGCCAGGGCATAGGGTCTACACGAGTCGAGTGTATTGTGTAGCCAGAGGCATAGGGCTTACACGAGTCGAGTGTATTGTGTGTAGCCAGAGGCATAGGGTCTACACGAGTCAAGTGTATCGGGTGTAGCCAGAGGCCTAGAGCTTACACGAGATTAGTGGAGTGTGTCGTCGGAAGAAGGAAGACCACACGTTGTATTGTGATACCTAAAGGATTTAATAAAAGTGTGTTACCCGTCAAGAAGTTCCTGCCGTCAATTCCATACTTCAACTGGCGTCAGAAGTGAAACGGTCCTCCAAGCATGGATACAAGGAGGAACCGTCGGACCCACGGGATTGACCACGGGGACAACCTCGACGACGCGGGCCAGCGGGCATCAGGGGGTGAGGAAGAGGAGCTGCCCACGGGGCAGGATCCACCGACGGCGCCGGACGAGCGACGGGGGACTGACACCGTGCTTCGCGAGGCACACTCCCGTCTGGCGGAGCTGCTGCTCGCCGCCGCGTCCATCTTGGCGGAGATCAGCTCGTCGGGAGGAGCGGGGACGGCGGCCGACGTGCTACAGGGTCGCCCTGCAGATTCCCGCCAAAACGATTTGGCGATTCCCGCCATTTCATCCGCTCCAACTTTTGGCGGGAACGGCCATCACCACGTGGCAGCGGTTCTCCATGCGCGCCCGCTGACGTCACCAACGCGCGCGGCGGACCGCCATCACACACCCGCCACTGGGGCCGCCATCTTACACACCGACGGGGGGCAGAGAGGAAGCACGAGGAGGAGGACGACTTTATCTTTCAGCAGCGCCTTCCCACGTTGTCAGCATTCAAGGCGGAAGGCGGGGATTGGAGCCAATTTCAGCGCAGATTTTTGGCGCATCAAGAGATGTCCGCCTGGTCCGACGCTACGGCACTGCGGGCACTGCCTGCCATGCTGGACGACAACGCGCTCGCGGCCTTCACGTCCGCACGCAGGTCGGACCGCTCCACGCTCAAGGATGCGCTGGCTCTCATGGCCAAAGTCTACGGTCCTCCCTCGGCGTGCCGCCATCATTTCTACGCAAGACGGAAGGCGGACACGGAGACCGTGCTCGCCTACCGCACGGCGTTGCTCGCTCTCGCTGACGCCGCGTTCCCTCGTATGGACGAGGAGGGCCAAGATGCGATGGTTTTGGAGCAGCTGCTCAAGTTGGCGCAGGACCTGGGGGTCCCCATCAACACGGCCGACGAGACCGATATTTCTTCATTACGGGTCGCCACGAGCATGCAAGCGCACGAGGTCCTTCAACGAAAGCAGGGGGTCGTCTGCAACGCTGCCGTGGCCTCAACTCCGGGTCCGGTTGACACCGTGCCCCAAGTCGTCAGCCCACGAGAGGACGCGTTCATCGCGGGACGAGCGGGGGACTGGAGGTCGGGGGGTCGTTCGCCTCTGCGAGCGGCCCGCAAGCTGGAGCAACCGAGATCTCCGACTACTGTCATCACCTGCTATAACTGCGGCCTTCGTGGCCACGTGGCCTCCGGTTGCCGCGCCCCACGTCAGCGCGCCATGGGACCTCGGCTGGACGACGACCAAGGCCCCAAGTCATCACTGCAAACCCCGGCAAGTCGCGGCACCTCACATGCTTGGCCCGCATACTCGACACGTATGGGTCGTCGCGTTGCGACGAGGGAGAGCCGAGTAGAGTTCGGGATTCGGTTCGGAGAGGGGGGTTCGGCCGGGACCGGGGAGACATTAAATGGTCGGAATTGGGGCACAGAATAGTGGCTGCCTCAGCGGGTTCATCCGTCGTTACCGGATCGATTGATGGGGTCGAGGTCAGGGTGTTAGTGGACACGGGGGCATCGGCGACTATTATTTCGGATCTCATTTATAATATTCTCCCGGTACAATGTCGTCCGCTTCTTCCGGTGGATGTGCCATTTTACGCCGCTAACGGGGGATCGTTGGGCATTATCGGTCAGATTAGGGCGTCCATTTGCATTGGTGATATCAAATTGTCGGGACCCGTTTTCGTTTCATCTTCCCTGGCGGTTCCTTGCCTATTGGGCACTGATTTTTTGGCGAAAATGCCCATCAAAATTCTCATTGATCAGCGTTGCATTGAACTACCATCGGGTCGCCGTATTTCATTTTTGACGAGCCCTAATGTAATTCGGACGGCGTGCGCTACCATTCAGGCGTTAGCAACACAGACCGTGCACGTGCCCCCGGGTTCACAAATGTTGATTCCCCTCCGGTTACGGAAGCCATGGGGGAAGGAGGCCTCGGAACAGGCCATGCTTTTGGGTCCTTCTAATAGGGCTGTTGGAGGTCTCGATTTATCGGTGGCTCACACTTTGGTTGGGGCAGACAGGGATCCGTTTGTCATGGTTTTAAACGCTGGGGCGCGGCCGGCCGTCATTCAGCAGGGCACCGTGCTGGCTCACGCGGCACGGGTCCCTGCGGAGGAGAGGCTGGTTGCGCAGGCTGATCCGAGCCCCACGAATAGCGTACCATCAAAGGAGGACCTAGATTGGATTGATATGCTGTGCGCGGACTCTGACGATTTGTCAGCGGTACAGTTGGGTGCGTTGCGCGGGTTGCTGATTGAATTTTCGGATGTCTTCAGTAAACATAAGTATGATATCGGATGCACGGACCTGCTACGCCACCACATTGAAACGGGCGATGCGGCACCGGTCAGGCAAAATCCCTTCCGACTGAGTCCTGCTGAGAAGGAACATGTTCAGTCGGCAGTTAACGATATGCTGGAAGCCGACATTATTTCGCCTTCTTCCAGTCCTTGGGGAGCACCTATTGTGCTCGTTAAAAAGCAGGACGGGTCCCTGCGATTTTGCGTCGATTTCCGCCGCCTGAATAAGATCTCGGTGGCCGACGCGTATCCGCTCCCCAGGATGGACGAGTCTCTCGACGCATTGTCCGGTGCGCGATACTTTTCGACTCTTGATTTATTGTCCGGATTTTGGCAGTTGCCACTCGACGAGGAGTCTAAGCCTAAGACTGCATTCCGGACTCCAGGGGGCCTGTTTCAGTTTAACCGGTTACCCATGGGACTTCACTCCTCTCCTGCGACGTTTCAGCGTCTTATGGAATTGGTTTTGTCGGGCTTGCAGTGGGAACGTGCCTCATTTACCTTGACGATGTCATTGTTTTCGGTAAAACGTTCGAAGAACACCTCCAGCGATTGAGAGGGGTGTTCTTGCGAATGCGATCGGCTAAATTAAAGTTTAAACCGGCCAAATGCCATCTTTTTCGTAAATCCGTGAGGTACTTGGGTCACATTGTCGACTCTTCGGGGATTTCTACCGATCCTGCGAAGACGGACTGTGTCAGTTCGTGGCCGACGCCCACGTCAGTGTCAGACGTGCGCAGTTTCATCGGTTTTGCTTCGTATTATCGCCGATTCGTTGAGCACTTCGCCACCATTGCAAAGCCCTTGCACGCTTTAACGGCAAAAGGAGTGAAGTTCCGGTGGGGACCGGAGGAGGAGGCTGCATTCTGCTCCCTCCGGGACGCCTTGGTAAGGGCCCCACCCTTGCGCTATCCGGACTTTGAGAGTCCCTTCTTGCTAGACACGGATGCTAGCAACACGGGCATTGGGGGGTGCTGTCCCAAGTCGTTGGAGGGGTCGAACGGGTGGTCGCCTATGGTAGCAGGGTGTTGTCGCCGGCAGAGCAGCGCTACTGCGTCACCCGTCGTGAACTACTTGCCATTGTTTTTTTTGTACAACAATTCAGGCCATATCTCTATGGTCGTCATTTCACGGTCCGGACGGACCATGCGGCGCTCCAGTATTCATTACGGGTTGCCCAGCCCTCGGGCCAATTGTCGCGGTGGTTGGAAGTCCTCCAGGACTATCAGTTCACGACTACGTACCGTAAAGGGTTGCGACACACGAATGCCGATGCCCTGTCGCGGTTGTTGCCTTGTCACAAATGTGCGTGCTTATCGGGATCGGCGCGCTGTAAACCTCCGGTTACGGAAGGTAGGGAGGCGTTGGTTGCGACCGCGAGCACACCAATTGGGGATGGTCCCGCTACCCCAGGGGGTCAGGACTCGCTGCTCTCACTGTCGTTGATTGAGTGGGGCCGTCTCCAAATGGCGGACAGCTCCCTGCTGGCATTGCGCCGAAGACGGAGGGTTCCGAAGGTAGCCACGACCGAACTGGCTCCTACGAGCTTAAGCAGGGCCTGTTGATGAGATGGGACAGTTTGTCCCGGCGGCATGCGATTGTGGTGCCTTCTGCTGTGAGGGGGAAGGTTGTCTTGGCCGCACACGAACGCCTCTTGCATTTGGGAGTTAACAAAACGCTTGCCCTGCTTCAGCGTGACTATTATTGGCCGGGAATGGGGGTGACGTGGTGAATATTCTGAAGGGTTGTGTTGAGTGCGCCAGACGGAAACCACCGCCCGTGGCAGCTAATCCACCGCTGCAATCTATTCAGGTCTCGCGCACTAACGAGCTCGTTGCACTCGATATTCTGGGGCCCTTTCCGGTCACGCCTAGGGGTAATAAGTACCTGTTGGTGGGGGTCGAATATTTTACCCGGTGGCCTATGGCGTGGCCACTCGCCAACCAGTCGGCGGCGGCTGTGACGGACGCCTTTGTCCAGGGCTACGTCCTGGACAAGGGGGCTCCCGAACGCTTGCTGACTGACCAAGGGAAAAATTTTTCGAGTAAATTACTGCAAGAGGTGTGCGACCTGTTGGGTACCAAAAAGGTGCGTACCTCCCCGTACCACCCGCAGACGGACGGGATGGTGGAGAGGCTTAACAGGACATTGACCTCTATGCTGTGCCAGCAGGTGTGTGAGTCGCATGTTGATTGGGACCTGCAGGTCCCTGGGGTCCTTGCCGCGTATAGAATGGCCCCCCATGCAGCTACGGGGTTTTCCCCGTTTTTCTAATGTACGGTCGGGAAGCCGACCCGCCCATGGAAACGCAGCTGGGTCTGCCCGCACCACGAACTAATTCTAAATTGGCAGAGCATATTAAATTTAATATTCATAAACTGACAGAGGCAAGGGAGGCCGCACGGCTTAATTCGCGGGCTCGCCAAATTGCGAACGAGCGGTTGCGGGCACGGAAGGTGTCCGTGCACAATTGGGAACCAGGTGACAAGGCCTGGCTGCATTGCCCTCAGGCACCTTTGGCCACGTCGCCTAAATTGTTGAAGCCGTGGCGGGGACCCGTGGAGGTCGTGCGGGTTGCACGCCCCCAGTGCGTTCAGATAAAATGGGGGAAACGCCGTTGGTACGTCCACCCCTCCCGACTGAAACCGTTCTCGCCTCCGTATGGCCTCCCCTTGTGTCGTGAGGGCCGAGCATGTGACGTGACCGACGACCCTGAGGGGGAATTGTCCTTGCCTGCTCCTCACATGTCTCCGCCTGATCCGCTCCCAGGTGTCTCGGAACTGACTGCTGCCGACCACCGGCGGCCGGATCTTCACGGCGGGGCCGGTCCTTCCAGGCCCGATCCGTGCCGTCTAGAGCTGCCGGAGACACCGGACGGTCGCCAACGTCCCGTTCCATACGACGGACCGGCCAGACGGACTCGCGCTAGGTCGCGCTACTTTGTGTAACCTACCACGTGCGGAGTCGAGGCAGCCGGAGCGCCTCGGCACTGCGTGGGTCACAGTGACACTTGGCGCGTTCGTTTTACGGTGTTCGCTTTTATTGTGTTGTTCGTCGGGCTGTATATTGCTTCGTATTTAAGGTTGTGTTATGTTGTTGTTGTTGTGTTACGGGGCACACTGGGATGTGGAGTTCTTTATTACTGCGTTGCGTTATGTTGTGTTGTAGGTTAACAGCCGGGCCGGCTGCAAGCTATGTGGGAGGGGGTGATGTAGAGGTGATACGCGCTGGGATTAGGGATCGTATGCACAGTGCGTGATGATTGGCTGTGTAGGTGGTGACGCGCGCTGACGGTGGAGGATCAGGGGTCAGCGCGGGGTCGTGGGTTACGGGGTACTGATTGGCTGTGGGCCGGTGACGCGCTGAGAGGGAGTGATCAGGTGGCAGCGCAGTGTGATTGGTGGAGTAATGTTAACACGCGCTGGGGAAACGGATCGTAGAGAGAGTGCGTCGTGATTGGTTCATTAAGGAGCGATGCTCACGTCGACGCCGCATCAGCTCCGTCTCTCGTGAGCAGGGGCTATAAAAGGGGATGCACACAGGCGTAAGGGCAGTGTGTAACCAGCGAAGAATGAAGACGGGGATGAAGACCTAGAGCCCTGCGGTACCTAGCCCCGCTGTCCTAAGGGGACCGGGACTCTGTGTAACCCAGAGGCGAGTGTAGTGTGTGTAGCCATAGGTCTACACGAGCCGAATGTATTGTGTGTAGCCAGGGCATAGGGTCTACACGAGTCGAGTGTATTGTGTAGCCAGAGGCATAGGGCTTACACGAGTCGAGTGTATTGTGTGTAGCCAGAGGCATAGGGTCTACACGAGTCAAGTGTATCGGGTGTAGCCAGAGGCCTAGAGCTTACACGAGATTAGTGGAGTGTGTCGTCGGAAGAAGAAAGACCACACGTTGTATTGTGATACCTAAAGGATTTAATAAAAGTGTGTTACCCGTCAAGAAGTTCCTGCCGTCAATTCCAATACTTCACATGCATACAGAACAGACTATTTACACTGTGTAACAAAAACATATATTTTTTTGTTCCTGGGTAGTAAGTATTATTTCCTAATGGCTTATGCCTCAAAAGTAAAGAGAATGGCTATCATTCCCCACAAACTTTGCTTTTGTGTCCAGGACAGTGATATTTTGAAATGTACCTATTTTCAATGAGAAAACTCGGTGTGCATTTGTGTCATTCCTTCACGTAAAGTCCTGGTCACAAAAGCAACGTTTGTGTGGAATAATAGCCGGTTTCTATACTTTTGAGGCATAAGCAATTAGAAAATAACACTACCCAGGAACAAAAATCGTGTTACACCGTGAATTATCCACGGGAGCTCCAGGGTCCGCAAAATCTCCTCTTACCCGCAGTATTAATCTTCCAGAACTCCATCCAATTACCAGCATATTTTTTTTGGCACAAAATAAGAGTCGCCAAGGCAACTAAAATCCTATTACTCTTGTTATCAATACGTTTTGGATTTTAAAAGGGCTGTGATCAGAGCAAGCGCAACATTGGCACTTGCTTTTATGACGTGCCACACGTGAAAACAAAGATCTCCCACATAGAATGTAACAGACCGTTGGGGCAAGTGCTGTTAGCAAACAACTATTAAAGCCGGCAGCACGCCCAGTCGCCATTGTCTCCCTAATGCTCATGTTCACACGCCACATCAGGTATCCATTTATGGCAGAGATGACCATGAGCGGAAATTGAACTCGGGTCGCTGGGTTCATAGCGCAGTGCGCTAATCCACTGCACTACCGCTCCCCACATTCCTGTAGACAACACACATACGCTCACAAAAATACAGAACACACAAATAAAAATACATGAAGACGCGGAGACAGATCTGTTATTTATATTGATCATATTAATTGAACCCCTATCATAGACAAACAGAAGAATGACAAGGCTAATGCATTTACGCTTTGACAATGAAAAAAAATATCCAGTTGACTTGTGTAACAATATTACTCTCGGCGGCAGAGCAGGTAAGATACTGCTGCCTCCCTACTGTTTAGAAAAGAAGTCACTTGATGGGACCTCAGGTAACCCAATGGTTAATACTGGTAGGAACCTCCTGGTTACACCGGCCCACAGGGGATTATTGTGTCCGTCCGTCCGTCGTGCAGGGAGGGGCTGGGTGGGAGGGAGGGGTTGGGTGGGGAGGGGAGGGAGGGCTGGGTGGGGAGGGTGGGGAGGGCAGGTGGGCAGGGTGGGGAGGGGCTGGGTGGGAGGGGCTGGTCACTCCATGGTGCCCTTATTAAACTCAACGTCTAACCTACTCACGCCGGCTTGTACCCGCCCTCACAGGTCGGGCATATTTGCGGAATACACCACGCCGCTGTTGACCCTGGCCATTGACCGAGCAACCCAACGTTCCTACCAGCTCCTCCGCAGGAATGTGTTTTTCTTCCTTGGACAACTCTTTATTATGAAGGGGTGATAATGCTCTGCAGGAGTTCTGAATTTATTATTTGCCTTGCGACGTTGGCAATGACGGCAAAATAGAATAGGAATAGCCAAAACATATAGTTTAATCGACGTAGCTACAAATCATGAA